TTATACAAAATCAACTTTTTTTGAATACACTTTCTTGTTCCATCCTTTTGAACTACAGATTTGAAATCTTTTTTTTCTATAAATTGCCTAGAATTTTCTTCGCTTTCATAAAATTGAATAACTCTTTCAACTATAGATGCGTCCAATGCTTGTCTATCTGGTTCTTGCTTTCCAAAAGTGATTCTTTAACATTTTGTAAGTGTTTTGCTTCTCCTGCTAGTCGTTTTGATACATTATACTCATTATAAATTTGGTTTACTCAATATCAAGTAGGTAATAATGCAAGAAGTTGAACTTTTCGCAATCTGAAAAAAAGCATAGTAGTAAAGAAAACTACAAAATATTTCTTCACGGTACTTTTAAAAACGTAAAAAATAATTTCAGTAAAATTTTGATTTTTATTAAATTCATTAACTATTTTGAAAATAAATATTCTGCAAACTTAGTTATCAGGTTCTTCTGTAATTGCTTTTTTTTAAATTTCAAGTTAGTTTACTATAATCATGAACAATGTCATCAATTTTAGTTGTAGGACTGACATTAAAGTCAGCTTTAAACTTTTTGACAACAACTTCTTGAATTTCGACTAACTTCAATGCTATGTATAAATCTCTGTCATAACTGTAATAAATAGTTGCAGAGTAAAGATATACGAACGATTATTATAGTAAAAGAAATCGAAATGCATTGAAGTTACAATTTTCATTATCTGGTGATATTCCTAATATACGGGGTCTGTCCGGAAAGTATCAAGCCTACCTTTATATTTTCGTGCTAGCGTTATTCTTTATCATCTTGTGGGTGGTATCCCCACTTGATTGAATAACACGGTTCCATCGATGTTTCCACTTTTCAAAACAGTCCTGGAACTCACTTTTAGGGATAACCTTAAGTACACTCATCGCATTGTTTTCAACCGTTGTTTTGTCATAGAATCGGTGTCCTTTCAGTGGCTTTTTTAGTTTTGGAAACTGCCAAAAGTCACAAGGGGCTATGTCGGGACTGTATAAAGGTTGTTGAAGCAATGCGATATTGTGTTTGCTCAAAAACTGCTGCACAAGATTGGATGAACGCGCTGGCGCATTATCGTGATGGAGAAGCCAGTCACCACTTTCCTAAAAGTGCGGCCGTTTTCTTCTTACTTCATCACGCAAACGTTTCAAAATTTGAACGTAGTATTCTTTATTGATTGTCTGACCTGTTGGTGCATATTCGTGATGTACAACACCTTCACAATCGAAAAAAACAATCAACATTGACTTAACATTGCTCCGACTTTGACGTGCTTTTTTTGGTCTTGGCGATTCAGAATGCTTCCACTATGAAGATTGTTGTTTTGTTTCAGGATCATAACCATAAATCCACGATTCATCACCTGTAATAATTTTTCTAAGCACATTATCATCATTATTGACCATTTCCAGATTGTCTAGAGCGATTTCTAAGCGAATGTTCTTCTGCTCTGCTGTGAGCGATTTCTAAGTGAATGTTCTTCTGCTCTGCTGTGAGCGATTTTGGGATGAATTTCGCACATACGCGTTTCATTCCTAAATTTTCGGTTAAAATTTCTGAAATGATAGTTTTTGGTATCCCAAGGTCTTCTTTTAGTTCTCGCACAGTCATACGACGATCTTGTTCGATTGCAAGTCGCACCCGCTCAATATTATCTGCTGTTTTTGTCGTCGAAGGTCGGCCGGAACGAGAATCACTATCGATAGAAGTGCGAACATCCTTGAACCGTTTATACCACTCTTTTATTCGTGTTTTGCTCATACACTCGCTTCCGAAGGCCTTTTGCATCATTCCAATAGTTTCCGAACTTGTTTTTCCGAGTTGAAAGCAAAATTTGATGCAAATTCGTTGATCTTGTTTTTCAGTCATTTTTGACAATATCAAAATCCGACAAACGCGAAAAAGGCACTGTAAACAAAAACACGCTGCGCATGAACTATACGTCCGGCAGGTGTCAGTAAGTAACCAATAGATTCGTGAGGCATTACTGTTACCGTTTCTGTCCGGTAGAGGTCGCTCGAACACTATGGCGCGAAGATATAAACGTAGGCACGGTGCTTTCCGGACAGACCTCGTAACATCAATTGTGTGCCCATCATTATGGCCTATCAAAGAACAGTAAACTGACTGCTTGATGTTGAAGTTTGGCCCTCATGATTACGTGAATAAGAATTACTTTGTTCATGTTTTGGGGTATAGTTTTTTATCTCTTTACGGCATGTGCTACAAAATAAAGAATTTTCATCGGAAATTCTCGATCTTTGGAAATCTTCTACACATGTACAACGCAAGTCAGATATTTCCTTAGAATCTAAACATATTCTTAAAAAACGTATACTTTAAAGATAAGTAAATAATTGTATTATTCATGAATTTACGTATACAAAGGATACATGCTACTGCATACTCTATAAAAATCAGCTGTTAACGCAGAATATGAATTATACGATAGTTTTGCCAATAGGGGGCACAAGCAATTTAGTGTATGGAAGGCGGTAATGGAAAACTGATTAAAATTACGAGGCATATTATCGGGAATCTTCAATTACAAAACAACGTCATCAAAAGTTATTTATGAAATGCGGGGGCAAAAGCCAATATAATCCCGAAAAATGATGAAAAAATTTTGAATGCTTTAGTTTTCATTAAATATCTCCTTGACAACTTTTTTGAAAGTACCTTGAGTTTTACATGCTTTTCGAAGTAAAAAGACGCGGGGAATCGAATATTCAAATCTATTTTGGAGAAAATATGGAGAACAAGGGGAGAAATCGATTTTTTTAAATTGATTTTTAGACTGATTAGGTATTTTTTTAGGTTCTGAAAATAGTTTTTTTAAAAGCTGAGAATTTTTATTTTAAACTTCAAAGATTGATTGCTACATAACACTTTAGTTTTTAAGTCTCAATAGAGTGGATTCTAGCTTCTTTTAACACATATTGAAACGTTTGATTCTATCTTACGTTAGTAAAGTAAATAGTTCGGACTCTAATTGTTTTATTTGTAATCGCGTTTCCGAGAGTAAGTAAAAAGTTGACACGTGAATGCTCTATAAGTATTGATATTTCAATAATCACCGAATAGCGAACACAGTATTTGCTGTTTCGATGAGCCGTTTAAAATACAATTGAGTATTGTTGCATCTATCGAGGAGAAGCCCGACAGCGCCGCAACGAATATTCAATTTAATTTCTAGGCAATTATTAATTTCAGAGAGGATATAGTCTAAGGCTCCTTTTTTCTTATGAGAGAGAAAGTCTTATGAGTTGAGCACTTAGATTATCGTAAGGAAAAGGAATTAGCAGGCTAACTTCTGAATAATGAAAATCAGTCTCAGGAAATAGCTGAGTCTTTATTTCGATCAATGCTCGCACTGATAGGCAAGGTAGGATTATAAGTCCTCTTGCCGCAGCGACGAGCGAATCTATACTTGCAAAAACGGCTCCTTTCTACACTTGGTAGCCCCTACAACGCTAATTTTGATATTCGCATAAACTTTGTACAGGTTTTGTCGCAAAATGGCTCGATCGAAACTGAAATTTAATGATTTAAAAAATCAAGTATAGAATAACAAATTTTTTAATATAAATTGTATCTCAAGGAAAAATTGCCTTTTAAAATTATAAGCGATATAAGTTAGATATTTATATAACACAGAATTTACAATAAATTTACGGAAAATTTTTACATAAAAAAATCGCTTGTGATAAGTGGAACATTATTCAAAATAAAAACGATTAACTTAACAATCCATTTTTGAATAAATAAATTTCTCTTTTAGCCATTATAAAATCAATAAATGGGTAACAATTCTTATCATTAATTTTATAGATATATACAGTCGAATCACTATCTCGCAAAGCAATTTTAATTGTTCAAATAAATTAATAATTTTTTATTTATTGATAACTCCATCAAAAATTAGTTATCAAAGCGTCAAATTCTTGCTTCTCTGTCTTAATGCGCTACGATCGCTGTTGTATATTCGAATTTGCAATGTACTCATTTGTTGCAAAATTACTAGCGATATTTACTTGTAAATTAAATTAAACTAACAAATACATATTGAATAACTATAATAACTTGAGATTCGAGATTAGCGCATGAAAATTGACTGAAAAATACTTTTGTTGATTAGAGAAAATTTTGCAATTGTCGATTTTGCATTGTAAACAATAATTTTCCCACGCTCGTGACGTCACGCTCCTTATATGGTCTTGTTTTCGCTAAATAACCCTAACACATATGCATGTATATGAGAAGAGCGCCTTCGCTCAAGTACCGCTATTCTTCAGCTTTCTTGTGTACGACGGGTTGCTATTTTGCAGTGGAAGAAAAGGCAAATCAGACTAGACCGTTACAATGTAATTGATGTAAAAAAGGTTTCGAAAACTCAAGGTACAAACGTATCACATAATTAAAAGAATGACCCCCCCCCTCCAAACACACACACACACAGACGGATCATTTTCATACTTTTTGGAAAAATTGTGAGCACTAGATAAATAAATTGTGTATATATATACCAACACACATACATATGCGTGGGTCTGTGTGTGTATGTTTATATACACCCAAAAATCAATTAGTAGAAGTAACAAATATTTTTGAGTCAGTCTGTATATTGCAGAAATTGAAAAGATATATACCAAATAATCCATTCTTTGGTAGTTTATCAAGTTTACATGCGAAAAAACCAAACTATTATATGTTTTCATAAAATACATATTTCATATAATATTTATATGCATTTATATATTTAGCAAGTCCGATATGAAATCTTTATCTTGGGTGACGTTCTACACGATCGGTGGAGGCAAGGTAGGTTTCTCTGAAGAGGTTAACATATCTGTTAACGAAATGTTAAAAGTTGTTTTCTTTCTCTATTGCCTCTACTGATCCACCATAACATCAACTAATTGCAAGATAATACTATGACAGGCAATAACAGTCATTAAAAAATGAAATCTTAATGTTTTGATACTTACTCCGAATGCAGAGAATCGTTTGGCTCGTCTTGGAGGATCCGGGCCGAGAAACACTTCAGATTTAGGTCGAACAGGCCGTCGAAGTCGTAATATTACTTTTGCTTCTTCTCTAATGTCTTCATCTAGTAATTTTGAGTCACTAGAAACTGATAATTGTCTGTGTACTCTTTCATGATCTCCAACTCTTGTCCAATCTAGAAGAAAGTAATTTATGTATAATACTGCGTAAATAAAATTCAGTAATTTAAGTAACTACGTACGAACCATAACATCTCTGTTTATCAGTTGGTAAATTACCATTTTGTTCTATGCGATCTAAAAATTCTTCAGAATAACCATTGAATGGTAAATGTTGATTATTAAGAGTATCATCGGCTTCTTCTTTTGAAATAGCTAAAAATGATTAAATTTGTATTATACATATATTACAATAATATGAAATAATTTTACCTCAATTATGACTTAATAACTAACTGTGACTGCACTGAAAATATTCTCTTTGTTTATTATTTTATGAATTACAGAGGCCTACAAAATATTAAATTTGATCTCTATCGAAAAAACCATAATATTCATACATATTTTCCTCTGAATTCTAATCTAACGTCTATTTAACCCTAGCACTTTAGGTTCAAGGGCATTTGGAGGTCATTTCTAAGAAAAGTAATAACTGATTCAATATATTAATTCTGTACAGTTTGGGTCTCGTAGCACTCGAATCCGATTTCTGTGACATTCTGACAAGATCAAGGATATTTGAAGGACAAATTGCGGAAAAAATACTTAAATAAAATAAGAAAGTATACATTTATATTTTCAGGGCTACTAAAACTGATTACAATATTAATTTGGCCTATTGAGATTGAGATCAGAACTCAAAGCAGCTGCATGTGGTAACGGCAAACAAGGACATTTTTTCTGTTTTCTGTTTTACGGCAATGTCTTTGAAGGAATGATGCCGTAATGATCGACAACCACAAAGTATAATATAGCATTTCGGATGTATAGTATCGGTGGTTTGTCAGAATGAGTAAGCGAGCCTGATACCTGATGAAAAACGTAGTTTCGGTAGGGTATTATCTTACAAGAATGGACTCTAGATCTTATAGGTATGAAGGAAAATAGAATTCCTGACCGTTATGTTTGTAAGAAATACCATCTAAAGAATAGTAAACTTCAGAAATTCACTGATAATTTTAAATTAGTGTGTGATCAATATTTCGATACTGTTATTTTTCTATCACAAAAACTGAAGTTTTCAACTCATCAAATATCTACAAAAATGTGTATCCCAATGTCTCTATTCATGAATCATTCAGGAAATATTTCTCGACAAATAATAATCTTGTATATTGCCATGATGTTAAGGGATTGATGGACGAATTGAAGAACGACGTGTACGAAGCTGATGAATGGAAGGTATTCATAGATTCTTTTAAGCGAAGTCTAAAGGACGTTTTATCACATGTCATAAATAAATATTTTTTAATCCTCAGAAACACATTCCGTAACCATAAATAAAGAATAATAAATACAAAAATATTGAAATGATACTAAATAATATAGAGTACGAGAAATATAACAAGCTAATATGTGATGATTTCAAGAGCTCTACCATAATTCTAGGTTAATAATAAGGCTTTACAAAACTTCCATTTTCACCATAATTTCATATCAATAATACGTCTTCCATGTTTCCTATAGTTGTGGTATAGCAGAAATCATAAGAACTATTACGTAAGAGCTTATTGGCCTGCTAGACAAACATTTGACCCCAGTAAGAATAACATTATTAACAAAACCGTCAGTAGACCAATCAAAGATTGTTCTTTCTCCCCTCTATATTAATTTTTGTTTAATAAAACATTTTGCTAAACCATTGAATGAAGAAGATGCTAATTATTTGTACTTGGGAACGAAATTTCCCGAAATATCCAAGGCTGAATTAAAAGGTGTATTTTACGGGTTCTGAATTTATATATTATTAAAATAGGAAATATTTGTTCATACGATGAATAATACAGAAAAAGCAACCTGGGTGATGTTAAAGGATACAGAGAAACGTGTTCTATAAAATCGCAAGAGCAAGAATTAGAAGAAATCAATTGACTATTGACTGGATAATTATAAAAAATTAGGTTACTTGATGAATTGAAAGCTATACTTTCTCCAATCATAATTAGACTATTTTTCACGAAATATTGGAGATAATAGTGAAGAACAAGGGAAACGCTTACTTCGAGATGTAAAAGAAATGAAGGGATTTTACCAAGGTAAGTAGGGTATAAATATAATGATGAATTATTGTTGGATCTTGAAAAGAGAACATTGTGAATAGAAAGAAGCGAAGATGAAACCAAAGATCATTTGAAGTAATAAAATTTAGAAAATCATGAGTTTCATAATAACTGATACTATGACTATAATGTTTTTAGTTCTTGGAGAATATGATAGAATAACTTTCTGGTTAAATTAATTCCCAATCACAAAACTAAAACTCTTACAAATATTATATTTTTTTAAGATTTGACATTCAAATACCCTTGACGTTCTCTTTATAACGTCAAACGAATCTCGAATTCAGATGCAGCGATCTCCAAAATATAGTCATTTATTATTTTAGTTTAATAAGGTAATATGTTCATATTTTGCTATTTGTATTGAGCCAAGATTTTGGGCTTTGCCAAAAATTCACCGTTGTACCCCCCCTTTCCCCACGAATTGGGTATTGCTGTTTGCGAAGAGACAATGAGCGTGGACCCTCAAGGTGAGATGAGAGGGTAGAAGAAAAAGGAAAAGTGGGCATTTTGACTAGATCTTTAGACAGGGAAAGATACCCAGAGAAGAATTGAGAGTGTGAGATGCGAGCCCGATATGGAGGAAAGAGAAGGTTGAGTACAGGCAGGTTCGATAACGTGGAGACCCAGCAAGCAGAGAACTACTCTGTCGAGGCCTAGGAGGAAGTGTTTGAAAATTAATTTTTTACAGAATATACATTTTGGTATTTGACAATGTAGGGTTCAACTTACGGATTCAGCAACCCCATGAAACATACAGATTTGACATTTTATATTGGTTACTACTCTTTTCCTGGAACTAACCTTCAAATGCCCTTAAATCTGATGTTCTAGGGTTAAATGGATGCCAATTAGGCGGATGAAGTACCTTGGAATGATATAGTTTAATCGCTGAATATTACATTGCATTTTTTCTGTGGATCAGTATTATCAATAAAATGAAAAAATTTTATCAATAAGAAAATGAAGTAAATACAACTTGATAATTATACTCCTCATAATGGTGCGATGGATACTTTTGTAAAATTGAAGAAATTATCCGATCTTATAAGAACGTAAATTCACGTTGGTACGAATATGCAACAAAGTATTGAAATGAATCGATGTACTTTATCCCGACATAAATAATTTTTTTTTATGCAAGCAATCTGAACCCTTGATCAAGTTATTGTGCTAAAAGATACACAAAACTGTACAAATTGACGAACTTATTGCTAAATAAAAAAATCATGACATTAGATAACTATATTACAGTACTTTAAGCATTCAGGTTTCTTTATAAACTTTAATCTGTGTTTATCATAGAGGACATTACCACAACATAGTCCAATTTTGTTGAGAGGCTTTTAAATTGTAATTAGTGAACCTACAGTGATTAATTATCGTGACAACTTTTAATAGTAATTTAAGATTCGAGAACCACTCCTTGATTAAATTATAATGAAAATTATTAAAATATAGTTTACCCTTGAATATATCTTTACAAATAAGGTGTCGAGTGGTAATAAGAGAGTTTTTTTTAAGACGTATTTTAAGAACGGATTTTTAACATCACTTTCTTCAGATAATTCAGCTGCATACTTCAGTAAATTAACAATTTTTTTATTTTCTTAAATTCTCAAGAGTGTTGGTATCCAAATGAGTTGAAATTTATTGTTGTTGAAGCTTTTTCTTTGAAATTCATATATATTTTTTTAAATTTCAAATACAAAGGGATTAAGTTTTATACTAAGATTTACACTTTGAAGAGATAGTAGTACACTCATAATATGTAAAGATACCTTTTTTTAGTAATTAGTAGTAATTCAAGGTGATTTCAATCGCATTATTAATAACAATACATTCTACAATAAAAATAGAAGCTTCATTGTCGAGACTTTTGCTCATCGTAATAATAAAACGGTCGTAAATAACTGTAAAGCCCATTGATATATCGCTGTCTAACTTGCCGCCATCTGGGAAAATGGAATAGGCTTTATTAATATTTAGACGTTGGTTGATAGTAGTGTTGAGATCCGAATTTTCGAAGCTTAGTTCTAAAGTCGATATCGATATAAATATGGTTGAATAAAATCTCAAGGATATAAAGATATAAGTTCTATTGTCTATTTGTGTATGTAATAAAATTATTGAAATTCGAATTCTTAATATATTTGACAAGTAAACGTCCACTATTTTTTAATTTGCCTTGATTATGATGAGTTTTTTGTTGAAAATGTGGCACACATTATGGTATGCTAATAATTTTGAGTTAGAAATAACTTTATCGATATACTTGTTAAATAGAAAAATAGTTAGTTATTCGATAATCGTAAGCTTGAATTCGGACAAAAATATGTTTGTAGAGGTACTATAGCGATAACCATGACCACATCCTATAGCTGCGTACTGATTTTTTTCAAATTAATCGGAATGCGTTAGGCTATTACGATAGTACATAATACAGCCTTTATTTATAACACAGGACTACAAAATGAACAAACAAAAGTCTCCTAGTTAAATGCTGTACATTTTTTAATGCACTGATACTGAACCGGAAGTCTCTGTATCCAAAATACGTCGAGACCAGGTCATTTGAAGGTCAAATATATTTATTATAAGGGAATCTAAAATTTGACTAGGGATACATTGAAAATATTACATTCAAATACATATTTTTCGCTATATCTGACATGACTTTTGAAGATCATCTGGAGGTCAAACAAAAGACAGATAAACCAAATTTCCTTTAAACTCGCATAAACCAGCGTTTGAGAAGTTATATGTGCTTCAATCTTATATTTTAATGTATTTTTGTGTCCAATTAGTGTCAAGGTTATTTTAAAGTCACGTTATTTTATTAATAGATTTGTTATAGAACATTTTCGAAAATATGACAATATTGCTTCATGGGACTAGGCTACTATACTAATATGTTTTTGCTAAATCTGAATCCGAGATCTTCTTGAACCCATGGTATCATCAATGTCAAGTTAAGATGCAATCAGGAGAAAAATGTCTAACCAATCAAAAATTTGTTTATTACATTTTTTTATAAAATGTTAACCAAAGAAATAAGATAGCAAATCCCAATGCTCCAAATAAGACTACTCCATT